TAAAAAAAAATAATAATGATCCTTCTCTGTTTAATTTTACTGCCCCTGGTTTCTCAGGATCTGTGGATGTTTTTCCTGACATATATATTTACTTAGTTTGACTTCTTCCCGAAGGGGCTTTGTTAACTTTTATGTGACCATTTTCATTTCACTTCTCCTTGTTGAATTTGTTTCTTCTTTTAACTTGATTTTCTCCTCTCTTGTCCTTTTGCTTAGCCACACTGGGACTGTCGTCTACTGAGGTATGTTACAGTAAGAAGGCTGGGATTTACATGGATACTGTTCTTAAAGATTTTCCTAGCTCAAAATAATGTTTAGGATTATCCTTTTTTTTTTTTTAAAAAAAAGGTACTTTTTAAAGGTACTTTAGGGGCGCCTGGGTGGCGCAGTCGGTTAAGTGTCCGACTTCAGCCAGGTCACGATCTCGCCGTCCGTGAGTTCGAGCCCCGCGTCGGGCTCTGGGCTGATGGCTCGGAGCCTGGAGCCTGTTTCCGATTCTGTGTCTCCCTCTCTCTCTGCCCCTGCCCCGTTCATGCTCTGTCTCTCTCTGTCCCCAAAATAAAATAAAAACGTTGAAAAAAAAATTTTAAAGGTACTTTATTCTGGTGGTGGCAAGAGCCCATTTTATCTGGGCAAGTTCAAGATTGGTGTTTTAATGAGAGAATGCAAGTGAACCAGGTCTTAATTCAGGCGGTATGATCATGAATCCATTACCTTTTAAAACCGGATCCCTAAAAGGGACCTCCAGAAGTGAGCAGCCTGACCGTGAACCGGGCCCCGCCCCCAAACCCTGAAGGTGACTATAATGGGGTGAGCGGTGCTCCCCACGCGGTGCGTCTGTGAGATCATTAGCTGTCCATCCACAGTGTCGGACATTTGTTTATCTGGACTCAAAGATGAGTGGCAACTGTATGTCTTAAGCCTGGATTAGTATGCCAGTTGTGCTGCTCTTGTGCAAAAGCGGCCACAGAATACAGGTAATGAATGAGCAAGGTTCTTGAACACAAACTCTTCCAGTGGCTCTGGCCATGGTTGCCTTTGCCTGTGATCTTTCTTTCTTTCCCCTGAAATTTTCATACCTGGAGCATTCTCTGTATTTTTACAATTTTTTAAATGTTTATTTATTCTCGAGAGAGAGACAGAGCACAAGCGGGGAAGGGGTTACAGAAAGAGGGAGACACAGAATCGGAAGCAGGCTCCAGGCTCCGAGCTGTCAGCACAGAGTCCGACGCGGGGCTCGAACTCACAGACCGTGAGATCGTGAGCTGAGCCAAAGTCAGATGCTTAACCGACTGAGCCCCCCAGGCGGCCCTGCCTGTGACTTTTCTGACACTCCTTCCCCTCTGGCTTCCCGCAGGATGAGGGTGAGGACCCCTGGTACCACAAAGCATGCAAATGCGATTGCCAAGGAGGTGCCAATGCCCTCTGGTCTGCTGGCGCCACCTCCTTAGACTGCATTCCGGGTGAGTGTCTCCTCTGCTTAGGGCACCGGATCCTCGCGGTGTCCTGGGGAACGTTGTTTCTCCTTTTCCTTTCTGCCTAGCTGAGTTAACCCCCCAGGATGCTAGGCTCTGGGTTTCCTGCAGTTGGCCTCCGAACTTCAAATCCCACAATGGCCACTGCTCCAACATACCACACGGATGTCATTATTCAGAAACAGCTTCCTGCCTCTCTCCCTGGCCTGGGTGAGACAGTGAGATGGCGCCTATTTTCAATGAAATGGACTAATGGAATGTGTGAAAATAAGTCAATGGTAGGAGGCAGGGCGTTCTGAGAAGAGGACAGCCTTTTGAGTCAGAGAGTCCAGAGCTGGAATCCTGCCTGCCTCCCTTCTTAGCTCTGGGACTCCCCCTTGGGTCTTTTTCTGTCAAAGGGAGGTAATAGTACTGTGCCCGAGGTTTACTGCTCAGCGAACAACCATGTTCTCCCCCACGTTCCAGCCCCTTTAGAGTGGCTCCAGCCGAAGTGAGCCGCGTCCCTTCCAAAATGAACATTTAAGGGCTGGTACTTGACTCTCCGGCTTTCCCTTCCCTGCTTGAGAAATGGTTCCTCCTCCAGTGTGGGTCCCAGGAGACTGAATGGAGCAGAATCCCTGCCAACCCATAACGGACAAGTCACCTGAGTGAAAAATAAACCGCTGTCTGTTAAGCCTCTGAAATTTCCAAGACAATTTGTTCTGCAGCCTAACATAGCCCTTCCTGGCTAATACAAGCGTCTTCCTGTAAGGTTCCTGCCAGCAAACTTTGTAAAGGACCAGATGCTAAATATTTGTGGCTTTGCAGGCCCTAGGGTCCCGACTCCTCAATTCTGCCTTTGTAGTACGAAAGCAGCCGCTGACAATATGTAAATCCATGCGTGTGGCTGTGTTCCAATAAAACTTTATTTACAAAAATGGGCGGTGAGCCACATTTGGTTTAAGGGCCACAGTTTGCTGACCCCTGCTCTTAGGAGTTGTCACGAGGAATAGATCCTCGTAGGCATGCGGGGTACCCAGCAAACTGTAGCTTACGAAAGGTCCGCTCCTTTTCTTCCTGCCTCCTGAGAGCTCACACTCTGACTTTCAGGGACTTGGGGGCCCAGAAAATCCTTGCAACGCTCAGTCCTTTGCACGGCTCAGAGCCTCTTTTGCTGGAAACTGTGCTCGTTACCCTCTGCAGGGTACATAATCACCTAATAATAGCTCCGCTAGAGACAGTATGTGTGTGCGTGTGCGAGCTTCTCTTCATTATTTCATTAAATTTGCATTAAAATAGGGGCGCCTGGGTGGCGCAGTTGGTTGGGCGTCCGACTTCAGCCAGGTCACGATCTCGCGGTCCGTGAGTTCGAGCCCCGCGTCGGGCTCGGGGCTGATGGCTCAGAGCCTGGAGCCTGTTTCCGATTCTGTGTCTCCCTCTCTCTCTGACCCTCGCCCGTTCATGCTCTGTCTCTCTCTGTCCCAAAAATAAATAAACGTTGAAAAAAAAAAATTAAAAAAAAAATTTGCATTAAAATAGCATACTGTGGGGGAGGCAGCGGAGAGTCTCCGACGGCCTTTGCTGCCTCCCCTTCCCTATTTACTGAAGGGGTAGGAAGTGGTTTGTGAATTCAGTCTATCGGAAAGGAACAGTGGGGCCCCTGTCATGAGGAAAGCAGCAAGTGCTGTGCAGTCTGGTGGGCTTCTACTGGATGCCCCACTGTGCTCCGCGGCAGGAGCTCCTGCAACCATTATATACTGGTGTGGTCTGCCCAGTCAATATTGAAGCACCCTCCTTAATAATCCAATTAAAATTCAGTTCCACCCTTTCTCATCATGTGTCTATTATGTGCCAGGCACTGATGGGGAGGCAAAAAAAAAAAAAAAAAAAAAAGAAGGCATTATCTCCTCCCTGAAGGAGTTTCCCATGCAGTGGAAACAAACGTTCTCTTCACTAGAGACACGAAGACCTTACTGGAACTCCATTCCGAGTTCTAAAAAAACCCACCAACTTGAAAAGAGATTATTTATGCAGATTGACCCAATCAACTGTGAAGTTGAGGAGGGCTGTGTGTTTGGGGAATGTGAAGTCAACCGGGGTCCCCCGAGCTCTCTCGCCTAAACACTTGCCATGCACTCGAAGTTCTGAAATCGGAAATTCTTTTAGTTTACGTGTTCTCCACTCCCCACCATCTTCTGTTTGTTTTTCCTCTCATTTTATTTTATTTTATTTTATTTTATTTTTTAATTTTTTTTCAACGTTTATTTATTTTTGGGACAGAGAGAGACAGAGCATGAACGGGGGAGGGGCAGAGAGAGAGGGAGACACAGAATTGGAAACAGGCTCCAGGCTCTGAGCCATCAGCCCAGAGCCCGACGCGGGGCTCGAACTCCCGGACCGCGAGATCGTGACCTGGCTGAAGTCGGACGCTTAACCGACTGCGCCACCCAGGCGCCCCTCTCATTTTATTTTTTAATGGCACAGACATTTCCGGGAAGAAACAAACACAACCTAAGGGTTACACGGTTGATTCATTGGCGTGAATTGGTTTTTTTCCATGAAAGAGATGGTTCAGGGCAGCAGGACTAGATGCCCATCAGTGCCTCGGGTCCTCAATGGAATCTTAAGAACGCTGCTTGGTCTCTCTGGATCCTGAGACTCACTGCTTCCATCACAGGCCGCCTTAGGAGGGAAGAAGAGCCTAGAAGATACAGAAGGACGGGAGGGAAGGTCACTGGGAGCTGCCCAGAGGTACTCTCGGGTGCACACTGGCTGCTACTGTCTAGTGGTCCCACCCACAGAGGAGAAGGTGCATTCTGGCCTCCTTAATCTTCATCTTAACACTATCAAAACGACTAAAAGGTCTGTCCTCCACAGTTAGCTAAGATCACCTTGGCCCTCGGAGGGGGAAGAATAGGGTAAGGAAAGTATCCAAGCCTAAGAAATCCAGTGATTCGTGAATGCTTTGCCTTTACTCTAGATTTTATACCTCTATATTATCTTCGAGTTTCTACTCCATTCTATAAACATTATTCTATGTTCCACTGCATTGTCATATAGGTTCAAGCCTAATACACGTGCATGTTAATATTCATGTCTCTCTTGTCAAGAACGTCCCTGAACTTCCCTTGTGTTTCTCTAGGTAAATGTTCTTTATAACCATGTCTGGCTTTCACGCCTCCTGACCGCGAGATTATCTACTGAATAAGAAAGGCTAGTATGCTACGTATAGTCTGGATTCGCAGCACATTATGAACATGCCTTTATCCACGTAATATCCGTGCTTTATCCACTTGTACCACACACGATGTAGGTTTCTCCTTAAAATGAATGTACAAACGTTCTTTTTCTACTTAAGATGAGCATACCAACAGGCTTCATAGCTACCCTAACAAACTGGCATTGGGCAGAAAACGTGGGAAGGACATATTCCGTGTGAGTCTGACGAGGATCCCCTTAATTCCTCCAGCAACATTATTCGTGCCACTTAATCCTAGTTTATACTCAATTGACAGTTTCCTATGGCTTAGAGCAGTAGGTGTTCTCTGGGCTGGGCGACCTCGATTTCCTCCCTGAGCTTTCCACTTCCTGTTTCTGCTGTCTTCTCTGCTTGCTCCTAGAGGCCACCCGAGACGGGCGATAATCTGTGTTTATCCCTTCATTCACCATCCAGTCAATAACTATCGAGTGCTTAGCATGTGCAGGCATTCTGCTCAGCTCAGAGGATACAATGGTGAGCCAGAGAGCCCAGAGGAGCCGATAAATAATGACAAGGATGGGGAATAAGTGAGAGGAACAGGGTGGCCGGCAGAGATCTGAAGGAAGAGCAGAGTTGGCCGGGGGAAGGGGGAAGAGAGGGGACGGGAGTGTCACAGGCAGAGGGAACAGCCTCAGTGGAAGGCCTCCAGGCCTGCATGAGGGCCCAAAGGGAGCCCAGCCAGGACCGTGGAAGGAGGAGGAGAGGGGAAAGGAGGAGTCGGGCAAAACAATAACATAACTTGACTGCAATTGACCCCACAGTCCATAGAGCGTGAGAAATGCCACATTTTCTATTTTTCCAAGTTGAAATAACTCCAGTTTGAGTCCTCCTCATGGCTAGCGAGGAGTCTAAAGACAGGACTGTTAAAGGTCCTTCCTCTCTCCTTGGACTGCATCAAACTCCCGTGGGTTTGCAAGGGCTGCCTGGGGGCAGGGCGCAGACTCAGGCTCAGGCTCAGGCTCAGGCCAGGTGGCAGGCTCCCTGCCTGGCCCACAGCCCTACTTGAAGGCCAACACTTCACTGGGGGGTCTTCTCCCTCTGAACCAAGCTCAGCTCAGTCCCAGGGACCTTCCCAAGTTTCCTGAGGGTGTCCAGAGCTCAGGGCTCCCTGGCCCCATCTGTGGTCCAGCCCCCTCAGAGGAAGCATGTCCCTGCTGAGCTCAGGCCCCTCCCATGAGCACGCCCCTTTCCCCCAAAAGGGCCAAAGCCCAGATTCTCCAGTCCCCTCCTGTAGCACAATCAGCTAATTCCTGTTGGCACCTAGACCTTCCAAATCCATAAATCTGAGAGATGCTATGTGGTCTACAGCCTCTCCTCTCTCAAATACACACACACACATGAACACGTGCACACACAAACCCAAGAAGAGCCCCAACCCTTAGGAACCCTCTTTCTTGGGGAGATGTACAGGGGATGATGGGGGCAGGGCAGAGTGGGAGAGGGGGGAGTTAGATTTCTTCCCGGGTGAGTCTTCACCAGAAAGACAAACATGAAAAACTCAAGAAGACATCAATGTATTCCCACGAATTCACCCTATTACACTGATATAATCTGTTGCTCTTGGCCAGCGACATCGTGGAGGCAGGTACTGCTGTGGGTCCCCTTTCACAGATAAGGAAATTGAGATCCAGAAAGGTAAAGCAGCTTGCCTAAGCTCACACAGAGACGGGGATCCGATCCCAGCTCACACTGACTCTAGACAGACATTCTTGACCTTGGCTGCCCATTACAATCACTTGTAGCTCTACCCCTCACCCGGGTCCTACCCCAGACCAATGACGTCAGAATCTCTGAGGGAGTGACCCCAACATTAGCACTTCTGTAACTCCCCCCCCAATGATACCCAGGTTGAGACCCATCAGAGAGTCTCTGCTTTGTGCCCTGGGCCACACCACTGGTTTCTGGGTTAGCAGCTGGGTAGCTAGAGGCACCAATACCTGACAGGAGCACTGTACAGGGGCAGGCTTGGGGCTTGGATACTGAAGGGTACAGTTTGGAACGTGTGGGTGTGAAGCATCTTTGGGTCACCCGGGTGGAACTGTTCACCTGGAAAATGGACAATGGGATAAGGCTTGGGGCCTGGGAATCAGGCACTGACTCCCAGACGCCAGGCAAAAGCCATGGGGATGGTGAGATCATCACTTTCCTGGAGAGTGTGGGCAGGGTCCGTGTCTGGACAAGCCCTCACCAGCCTCCAAGGCCACTGCCACTGGCTTCGTCTCCCTAGGTTTCCACTCTTAACCGTTAGATGAGCAAATCGGAAAGAAATGGCAAAAGAGATTTAAGGGAAAGACACAGAAAGAGCAAAATGCCAAGAATAAAGCCATCAGGAGTGGACTTTTCCTTCCCCTCTGCTCCTTCCCTCCAAGCTGGTGGCCCTGGAGCAAGAAAAGGAAGATTCAAGATGGAGGGGCCTTAGAGACACCCACAGTTAGCATTTAAGTGACAACCTTGGGCCCAACTGAAAACCAGCTTTCTGATGCTGGGGCCTTGTCCCACCTTCTGGTGGCATGGGCTTGTCCTCCAGGTCGGAGGGAAATTGAGGAGGTAGAGGGGGCCCCCAAGGCCATGGGCACCAGGCCCCTGAACCTGCCAACTGACAAATGCCTTCTCTCACAGGCCAAAGTTTCCCCAGTGTGCTTTGAAAGTGTACTTGTTAAAGATGAGGCTGCTCTGGGGGTGGGATACTGAAAACTGCATCCTTAACAAGCCCTCCTGACGATTGGACCGCACAAGGCATGATTGAGGGGCCCGTAAATCACTCCTGTCCTCTCTCCCAGGAATTCCCGTGATTTTAGTAGGCTCCATCAGCCTTGGGGACTTGATAAACCACAAGTGCTGTCCCCTCACTTCCAGCCCCACTGAGCTACAACTAATGGTGGAGGTTGGACATTTTCCTTTGGTGCATCGGGCAGAAAGGCAGTGAAGCCTCCCTGGTCAGAGGCCTGAAGCTGTCTTTCTGTCTTCACTCTCTGAGGACAGGGCATGACTGCCTCTGCGGGCATTCTGGTCTCAGGATGCATGGCATTCAAGCTTTTGCATGCTTCGTTCAATTTTAGTGACTTTTGGAAGCTATCCTCCAGAAAGACCCCAGCACTCGTTTCACTGTTGGAAAGGGATGATGCCCCAGTCAGCATGTTCAGCTCTTTGATCTGAACTCAGATTTACACATGGACAAAAAATAATTTCACTTACTTGAAGTTTATTCTTCACAATCGGAAAACTAAGAGAATGTGTAAGTTTACCATTTGTTTTTTACAGAAATATAGCTAGACTTGTGTTCGGTTGTCAATAAGGGATTCCCTGAAGAGTGGCTTAGTGAATTACTTTTGTTTTGACTCCTGTAGTAAAAAGAGTAGGGGTAGGGAGTTGCTGAAGGATATCAGGGCTGAGGTCTCGGCGCTTCTTTTGGCCTTACCCCCGTTGTGCAAGAAGCCACTGCACCAGCCATCAGGTCTTCTTTCTAGGCAACGAGAAGAAAAAAGGGGTGAGCAAAAACGGACCAGAAATCCCCAGCAGACATCGTCGTATATCTCAGTGGTCAGAAATTGTATCACGTGGTCGCTTCTAACCGCGAAAGAGGCCGGGAAAGATTTTTTTCTAGCGCCTACATTGCTGCCTGACAAAGTTAGGGTTCTTTAGTCGAAAACAAGGGGAGAACGGATGCTGGGCTGGCAATCGGCGGAAGTCTGTGACCAGGTAACCCAACACTAAATGTGTTTAGAAATACGTGAGAAGCAGCCGACGGTTGACACGTAAGAACCAGCTTTGGCTATTCTTACTTGGAAAAAAACCAGTTCCTTTCAACTGTACCTTATTCAATAGTCACTCAGGTACATTTCACCCCCCCCCCAACACACACCTTTTTTTATTCATCAGACTAGTGAGAAGACGGCACTTTACGAGCGAGAAGTCAGTCTCAGTATATAACTGCCTTTCTTGCCTCTGACCATTGCTCTGTTCCTATAATTAGCATCATATGCTGCCCGAAGACAGCTGGGGCCCCTGACGTCATCACGCCGGACGGCTAAAAGTGTGTTAATGAGGAAAATAAAGAGTACGGCATTTAACTATGATATTTCCCTGGGAACCTCTTGGTTTTGCAAATGTCTAAGTTTGTGGAGGAGGTGAAGTATTTCTCCCTCCCTCCCTCCCCCACCTCAGGTTGCCATAGAGCCCCTTTCCTCTGCTTTTGCGAAGGTTGAGTCTCTATGGCAATCCTTTGACTTCATCTTCACTCTCTCTCATAAGAGCAGCGAATAAGTTGAAGACCCATTGTGGAGTGCGCTGACGAGCAAAACATTCTCCACCTACCAAAGCACGAAGGAGACGGTCTGATTTGGCATGTCAGTCATGTCGGGTTTGTGGAGTGTTGCGATGTGATATGAGTGTTTTGAGGTGCGTTGTTTTTCCCTTTCCAGAATGCCCATATCATAAGCCCCTGGGTTTCGAATCGGGAGAAGTTACACCAGACCAGATCACCTGCTCCAACCTGGAGCAGTACGTGGGCTGGTATTCCTCGTGGACCGCTAACAAGGCCCGGCTCAACAGTCAAGGCTTTGGGTAAGCAGGGCAGGTGGCTCAGGCGGTTTTTCTCATGTGATTTGAAAAATGTAGGTCTCTGTAAGAAAAAAATGGCAGAATGCACTTATTTATTCAACAAATATTGACTGAGTGCCTTCCGTGTGCTGAGGACTGTGGGCAAGGTGGCGGAGGTCCTGGCCTTCAAGAAGCACACAGTTTAGATGGGGAGAGGGACTCTACCTGAAGGGCACGGATGGGGATGGTAAAGGTCAGCAAAGTTAGGGCACAAGTGAGATAAGGCCAGAGCTCTGGTAGGCAGAAGTCAGATCTCAGATCGTGAAGTCACGTGAAGAATTATGGTAACTATTTTAGGCATAATGAGAGGACCCGGAATGTGCATTAGTTAGAGTACAAGTTTGTACTGCTGTAACAAAGAACCCCAAAGTACAGAAACTTAAATAACATAAAGGTTGATTTCTTGGTCATCTAAAAGTTTCATTAGGCCATGTAGTTTCATTGTTATGACGGCTGATGGTATCAGGGGTCCAGATTCTTTCTACCTTCTTCTGTCATCCTTCACATGAAGCTGCCATCTCAGGGCCCAAAATGGCTACCCTAGCTTCCACTAGCACATCACATTCTAGCCAGGGGGGAGAAAAGAGGAGCAGAGTGCACAAGCATAATCCTATTGGCTACTTCTGCCCACATCTCACCAATCAGAATTTAGTCAGGTTGTCCCACCTAGCTGCAAAGGAGACTGGGAAATATGAACTTTTCTGGGTGGCTGTTTGCCCAGATAAAACATGGTGGTGGTGGTGGTGGTGATGGTGTTCTATTGCTAAAAGAAGACGGGAAGAGGATACTGGGGGACAATTAGCAGACTCTAGCAGTGAAAGATTTAAAGCTGGGGAATACCACAATAACATTTGTGTTGTAAGAAAATTCTGGCTCAGGGCGCCAAGGTGGCTCAGTCAGTTGTGCATCCAACTCTTGGTTTCAGCTCAGGTCATGATCCCACGGTTGTGGGATCAAGCCCCATGTCAGAAGCCATGCTCAGCAGGCCGCCTGCTTAAGATTCTCTCTCTCTCTCTCTCTCTCTCTCTCTCTCTCTGCCCCTCTCCCTTGCGCATGTGTGCTCTCTCTCAAATAAAAGAAAAAAGAAAAAAAGAAAAGAAAAGAAAAAAGAAAAATCTGGCTCTTGTGAGGAGAACTGTTTAGTTGGGGGAAGTAATTAGTGAGGTGAGCTAAAGTAGCAATCCAGGCAAGAATTGAGGATGATGTGGGTCAGGGCAGTGCCAGTGAAATGGAGAAAAGTAAATGACTTTGAGAAACACTTGAGATGGAGTCAATAGATGGATTGGATGTTTGAGGCAAAAAAGAGAAAGGGACAAAGATCTCTCTCAGATCCCTGGCATGAACACCCCAGAGGATGGGGGTAGCATTCTGAAAGATGAATATTGGAAGGAGGGGCTGGAGACAATTAGGTGTTTACTCTTGGACATGTTTCTTTGGGAATGCTGTACAGCACCTAGAAGTTGTCTAGACAGCAAATGATTCTCAGGTTTCGGGATTTAGAAAAGGTCTGGGCTGGAAGTTAAGATTTCAAGAGCCACGCAAGGAGCAAGTCTGGAATTAGAAGAGAAGGCAGCCAAGGACTGAGTCCCGAGAAGCTAATTAATATGCAAAAAGTAAATAAAAACCTCAAAGGGGAAATTATAGGTTTCCACAATTCATGAGAGACATAGCTAAAAAACAAATCAGTTCCCTCAATGGTTGGTTTGCTTTATAATTGCCAAAAGCTCTTCCAGAGCCACTTGGATCAGTGTTCTGCACATGGGAGACACTCTCTGAAAGCCATGAATGACAGCACTGGAAGGAGACGCAAATATGTATAAAAGGGACTGAAATTGGGGTGAGACTCATGGAGAAAGAGACATCAGGAGAGACTAATGAAAAGGGAAGGGAGCTGGTGGGTGCAAAAACCATGCATTTTCATGATTTGAAGACAGACATACTCAACCACACCCCAAAGGTGATTTCAGCAACACTCAAAGGCACTTCTTTGACAGATCAGTTGAATCTGGCCATTGTTCTTTGGTCAGTGGAGACGCTGGGAGAAAGAGAATGATACAAGTATGACAGAGGCCGCACACTTCTTGGAGACAGGCCTTTTGGTGCTTAACAGATTGCAGCTCAGACTGCCTGCGCGTTGCAGGGGTTCTTTAGGCACTGGCGACCCCTCAAAGGGCCGTGCCTCTCAGCTCTTTGGAGGCTCTCATAGGAAAGGGCTCCTGGTGATTTGCTGTGTTCCTGGCAGGTGCGCCTGGCTGTCCAAGTACCAGGACAGCAGCCAGTGGCTAGAGATAGATCTGAAGGAGGTCAAGGTGATTTCAGGGATCCTCACCCAGGGGCGCTGTGACATTGATGAGTGGATGACCAAGTACAGCGTGCAGTACAGGACCGATGAGAACCTGAACTGGATTTACTATAAGGACCAGACAGGAAACAACCGGGTAAGTTGGACTTACCCCAAACCACCTTTAGCTCATACTCTCTGGGACTTCCCTCCCGTTCCTGCCCTGTCACGCCACTGACTCCATGGCAAGGGAAGTCAATCGTGCTTCTTCCCCACAACATGGTCTACTCTCTGACAGGGCAGGGTCTTTTCTTGCTGTATCCTGGATGCCCAGCAGTTTGTGAGTGAGCACCACTCTTGCATGCAAAAGAAATCTTTGTTTGAATTCTCCTACCAGCTTATAGTTGCTCACATGATCAAAACTGGACATTTGGACTATTCCAAACTCTGTGGGCCATTGAACACTTTGCTGCATACATGTGACTTGACCTATTATTGATGTGGCTAGGCCCTTGTCCATTTATGTAGATATGGCCTCTCCTTACCATTGAGACTGACTTCCAGGAAGATCTGGACAATCCAGCAAGTTAGCCACTGAACTATGTAAATGATTAAAATGACTCCAGCAATGAAGACACAGAGGAACTTGAACCTTTGAGCAATTTTATATCCTACTAACCTCTAAAGGCCAAGCCCCAAGTCTTGTTCACAGTAGGCTCTTGATTAAGTGTATATATATATATATATATGACCAATATTTTATATATATAATGTCTATTTGCAATGAATTAAAAACTCACTAGCTGTTTGGAACCGTTAACTGTCCTTTTGCCTGAGAGTAAGGACTTCTGAGGCTAATTTGGACAATCAGATTAAGCAGACACGTGTGGCTGAAAATCAGAAGGCTTTGTACCCTGTGATGACAAGTTGTACAGCAAGACAGCCACGGGTTGAGATTTCAAGGAGTTTGAATACAATAGGAGAAACCATCTTGATACTTAGACATTTTATTTCATTTTTGATCTTGTTAGCTGGCTTTTCAAAAAGAAATGGAGAATTCATTTTCAAGTCCTGCCTGCATTTCTGAAGGCCTTGACGGTTCTTTGCAAAGAGGTACTCCACTCAGGCACTTGGGCAATCTGCAGGAGCCTGTTCCAACCTCCCTCTTCACCTGTCCCAACTTGAATAGATTCAAGGGCAAACGGCAGAGAGAAGGGGATGTGGGATGTTGCTATTGGGAAGAAAGGCAAGATCATGGCACACGAGGTCCTTCTTGTTTTCTAGATAGATGAGGCCAAAGTGGCAGCCAGATTTTTTGCAGGAGATAATCCCAGAAAGAAATGAAACGCTCCAGTGTCATCAGGCAGAGCTCTACGACTCTAGAAAGACTGCCAAGAATGATTTCTTTGGAAACGCAGCCGAACAGCCACGGCACCTTTTTTCATCAGGGCCAGTGCATCATGCTATGCTGCATCCCAAAACACACGAAGCAGAACCTTTTCCTCCCTACTTTGGGTACTGCACTCCCCCTTCCAGAATCTTCCCTCTAGTTTTTATGTCTTGTCTTTTCTAAAAGCAGTCTTCCAAGTCTAAAAAGTATTTGCCATTGGTATGGAGGTAGAGATACACACTTAAGCTTTGGCTCACAACTTCAGGGCCAACTCACCAGTTTTTACTCGAGCCTCACTTTGGATCCCTTTGGAACAGAAGAACATTCCTCCTGTAAGTGCAATGCGGTCCTTTTCAAAATTGGTCAAAATGCAAAGAATCAGAACACAGAATTGGTGATGAGAATCAAGAGGCATTTTCCATCAGTGCCATCCAATAGAACCTTCTGTGACAATGGAAATGTTAGGATCTGCACTGTCCAATATGGAAGCCACTAATCACACACAGCTATTGAGCACAGGAGCCATCACCAGCGCGGCTGAGGAAGGAAATTGTTATCTAATTTTAATGCATTTAAATTTAAATAGCCACGTGTGGCTAATGCTCCCATACTGGCTGGGGAAGCTCTAGATGTCCCCAGAGAATCACTCGGAGATGCCTAGAACATGCAGGCACTAACACACAAGTTCAGATTTCGGGCACATGCAATTCTCTGACCTTTGACCACTTTCTGAGATTTCCCAGATTTCAAATTTGGGGCCAGCTTCAGATAGGAATTGTTCTTCCTTTTCCCTCCCCTGATGTGATAGTGATAAGATTTCCTCTCTCTTTAGGTCTTCTATGGCAACTCAGACCGAACCTCCACGGTCCAGAACCTCCTGCGGCCCCCCATCATTTCCCGCTTCATCCGGCTGATCCCACTGGGCTGGCACGTCCGCATTGCCATCCGGATGGAGCTGTTGGAGTGCGTCAGCAAGTGTGCGTGACGCCTCCTTCAGCTCGGCACCTGCCAGGTGGGGTGGAGGGCGCAGAGCAGCCTGTAGGGGAACATTGACGCGACCAGGGCTTGAACAGGGTGACAAACAGGGCTGAATTTTACAAGCTCTTTTCAATGCAGAGCTGGGCAGAAATAATTTCTTTTTTTTAAGACGTAGTTTCCAATGTCAATGAGAAAGAAAAATGAACTCATCCCCCACTAAGGGCCAAAGAAAATAAGAACAAAGAAAATGTCCCTAAAGACAATGTTCATCAAAAGCCTAAGTAGCAGGGGTAATTTTCTGCTCTCGGGTTTTTGTGTTTGGCCTGACAGTGTGAAAGGTGTGGTCTCAGGGAACACAAAGGAGCCCAGATAATTTAAAAACCCTTTTGCTTCACCACCCTGAAAACAGGAACAGAAGTTTCATAAAACCTTGATTTGAACGCAAATGGGTAGCAGGCTTGTGGTCTTTCTGGGGTTTTCACCAAATTAGGGCCTCTCACAACTTTAGAGCACCGTGTATGCAGACGGAAAGGATTTGGGGTGACTGGGGGGCCGAAAGGCATAGTCGGGAGCCTGTGTCCTGGTCTCCTGGAGGCTGGCACCATCACCTCAGGTAGGAGGGCCTCCCCTGCTCTGCGCCTTCACCCCCACGCACACAAGGACTGGGGAGCCACAAAAGCTCTCATCACATACAGATCCATTCTAGCAAAGTTTTCCAGTCTGTGGTCACTATTTGGGTAAATACATGGGACAGGCTGCATGTGTAAGTAGCAAAGTTTCTCTGTATTTAGGAACCCCACATGACCGAAGCACACCAGAATTTCCCTTCATCTAGGGCTACCATTTTTCAACAGGATTCACATTTTAAAACCAGTTGGCACAGGAGATAGATCACTGGCTACACGGGGGAGGCCCATCAGCTAACCACATGCTTTGCAGGAAGTGGGCAGACCGCAAGTCCTAAGAAGGGATGTGGATACGTTTCTTGTGACCCACGGTTAAACTTCACCCCTTGCCTTGCAACACACAAAACAGGCCTGCTCCTGAGGCTGAAACCTCCTTGGGAAGGACCGGGCCTGGCATGGGCCTGGCCTTCCCCCTCCTGGAGGAGCTCATGAAGCTGGGACCTTTCGGGAAGAGTCTCAGTCTCCTGAGTTTTCAGGCCCTTCCCTGGGGAGAGGCTGATGACATGGGGAGTGGGCAGGAGAGGTATATGAAAGTAGGAGCTGAGAGGGGGTGAAACTGGGGGATGAGGGCCCTCTGACAAGACTGGGGAATCCGAGACTGTCCTGGCCCTGACACAGCACAGCCTCTACTAGAGGCTTTCTCCTGAGTTACTTTCTGTTTTCAAATGCCAAGCCGAGTGAAGACTCACACTAACATGATCCTGGACATCACATTCACCTTCTCTGTGAGGGGGAAGCCTCCTAAAAACCCCAAATCTCTTCCCTGGTGTTTTGGGCTTAGAACAGCTCTATATTTAACCCACCATCCTTTTTTTTTTTTTTTTTTAACGTTTATTTTGAAAGAGTGAGAGAGGAGAGAGAGAGAAGGAGAGAGCATGCATACGCACGCGAGCAAGCAGAGAAGGGTCAGATAGAGAGGGAGACAGAGGATCCGAAGCGGGCTCTGCGCGGTCAGCAGTGAGCCTGATGTGGGGACGAACTTGTGACCTGTGAGATCATGACCTGAGCTGAAGTCGGATGCTTAACCGACTGAGCCGCCCAGGTGCCCCTAACCCACCATCTTTTTAATCCCCCAACTGTATACTTGGACCTGGAAAAATGCTTCCCTTGCTCAGTATTCTCTCAAATACAAACATATCAAATTCAAGGTGGGGAAAAAAAATCCTTCTCTGGCCTTTGGACACATGAATAAATCCATTTAGAGCAGACGCCTCATCAGAGCCCCTTACTGAAAAGCTGAATGAACTTTCATCATGACACGGATTGTCAGAGAAAATGGTGGTAGCCTAAGAGCTCAGGTCCTCTACAGTGGTCACATCAGACACAGGAGGGGAGTACGGTTAAGAGGAAAGAAGAAAAGAATGAAACTGTGAGGCAGTGATAAAGGTTCTCCAACTAATTGTTCATGTTGGAAATGTTTGCTTTGTAAAGGTTTAATGAGATAAAGTCACATACCGTACAAATTTCAACCATTTCAAGTGTACAATTCAATGACTTTTAGTAGACTCAGAGTTGAGGAACCATTATCACAATTTTAGAAAAATTTCATCACCCCACAGAGAAACCCCGCACCCATTAACCATCACCTCCCAACCTACTCGTCCCCGCAGCCCTAGGCAACCACTGATGGACTTCCTGTCTCAGTAGATTTGCCTATTCTGGACATTTCATATAAATGGGATCATTTTCTGCCTGGCTTCTTTTGTTTAGTGTAGTGTTTTCCCAAGTTTCATTCAGGTTGTAGCATGCACTTAACTCCTTCTTATAGCTGAATATCATTCCGTTATATGGATAGGTCACATTGTATTTATCCGTTCATCTGTTGATGGACATTTGGGTTGTTTCTACATTTTTGGCTATTGTGAATAATGCTGCTATAAACACCTGTGTACGAGTTTTTGTTTGGACATATGTTTTTATTTATCTTGGGCATATACCTAGGAGTGGAATGCTGGGGTCATATGGTAACTCTACGTCTAACCTTTTTAGGAACTGTCAGACAATTTTCCAAAGGGGCCACACCATTATGCATTCCCACCAGCAACATATGAGAGTTTCAGGTTCTCTACATTTGTTACTATCTTTTTGATTAGAGCCGTCCTGGTGTGTATGAAGTAGCATCACTCTGGTTTTTGATTTGCATTTCCCTAGGACTAATGATGCTAAGCATCTTTATGTGTTCACTGGCCTTTTGAATAACTTCTTTGGAGAAATGTCTTTTCCGATCCTTTGCCCATTTAAAAATCAGGTGGCCTTTTTATTAACGAATTGTAAGAGCTCTTCAATATTCTAGATACACCCCCCTTAGGAGATACGTGACTTGCAAATACTTTCTCCTATTCGGTAGGTTATCTTCTTACTCTCTTGATGGAGTCCTTTGAAACACATTTTTAAATTTTGATAAAGTCCAATTTATTCTTTTTTGTTGCATGTGTTTTTGGTGTCATATCTGAGGTACCATTGCCAAATCCCGATCATGAAGATTTACTCCTATGTTTCAAGAGTTTTATAGTTTTACTTCTTACATTTAGACCTTTGATCCATTTGGGGTTACTTTTTGTATATGGTATGAGGTAGGGGTCCAACTTCAGTATCTGCACGTGGACATCCAGTTGTCCCAGCACCATTTGTTGAAAAGACTTTTTCCCCACTGAATGGTCTTGGCATCCTTTTTGAGAAATCAATTAACCATAAAGGTGAGAATTTGTTTCTGGATCCTCAATTCTATTCCATTATAGGTCTATCTTTATACCAGTACCACACAGTTGTCATTACTGTAGCCTTTTTAGTAAGTTTTGAAATTGGAACAGGTTAACTCTCCAACTTTGTTCTTCTTCAAGGCTGTCTGGGCTACTGAGTCCTTTGAATGTCCATATGAATTTTAGAATCACTGTGTCAATTTCTGCAAAGAAGCCAGCTGAGATTTCACATCGGAAATCTCTCCATACTTGAGAATTTAATAAACAATGAGATACTGAGATCCATAATACGTTAATCTGTAGGTAACCTGTGTATAACAGCATATTAATTATTCACTTCATTTAATTTAGAACAGAAAGTATAAAAACAAAACTTTTATTGAGGGGCACCTGCAGCCTAACAGAATCTTGCTATTAAACACATGAACTGTGTTTGGAGTATGATTTTTTTTTTTTTTTTTTGGTGGGGGAAAAATCTTGATTAAATAACATACATATAGTGTAGCACAAACTCATTATTTTACCTTATGTTAACATGTTTACTTTTATTCTCACAAATGCTAGAGTGTGGTCTACACTTTCAGGAGATTCTTTTTGTTTTTTGTAATTTTTTTTTTTTTTACACTTATTCATTTTTGAGAGACAGACAGAGCACAAGTGGGGGAGGGGCAGAGAGAGAGGGAGACACAGAATCGGAAGCAGGCTCCAGGTTCTGGGCTGTCAGCACAGAGCCTGACGCAGGGCTCGAACTCACAAACCGCGAGATCATGACCTGAGCCAAAGTCGGACGCTTAACCAACTGAGCCACCCAGGTGCCCCGTGGAGATTTTTTTTTTTAATTACGGTAAAATATACATAACATATTGCAGGAAACTTTTAAACAACTAATAACGTGCTATGAACAAAGAAGTAGCATTAAGGGTTGCCGAGATGAAAAACTAAAATCTGAGCTGATTTTGGTATGGAGTGTAGGAGAAGGTTACTTGGACAACGCAAAGGTATTTCAAAATAAAGGTACCACTATGAATTCAGTGTCCGAGGCCAGAAAATTACACCCCTAAGGTGAGCCTCTGAACAGGTGCTAACAGAAGCCCATCTTTTTGTCTACCTGGAGCGTGGGGTGCCAAGGCCTGCTGACAAATGTACAGCTGTAAGGGTTGTGGCTTCCCGTGACCCCAAGAACAGCTCCAAGCTGGGTGCTTCTTAACCCTGACAATTTTACAAGGCTGATGTAAATATCAAATAGGATAAATACATGTAAAGTGCTTAATGAGCTCTCTAGAACTGGCAGTCAAGGTTCAGGGACATTGCTTCTCAACTTCATAGGGCTGCCAACCGAGGCACAAAAAATAGCTAGCTAATATTTACCTAGAACTGATTAAGTGCCTTGCAGGTTATCATCTTGTTAAATCCTCACAATTCTATGAAGTAGGTACTGTTATTATTTACATTTAAAGATAAGGAAACTGAGGCACAGAAAAGTGAAGTAACTTGCCTAAGGCCACCCAAGATCTAGGTGATGGAGCTAGGATTCTACTTGGGCAATCGGACTCCAGAGCCTGTGCTCTTAGCCACTTCACCGGGCCCTGGACCTCCAGTAACTTGTTTCAATGAAATGCTCGAATTCTCGAGTCAAATCAATTACCACCCGCCGGGAGATGAGAGGAAACACGCGTTGCTCCATGTCACGAGCCCCACGTCAGTTTTCTACACACGGAGATGCCGGAACTGCACGGCTTACTAGTTGTTTACGGGCGTGGGTTTCACAGCGAGCACACTAGGCTTCAAATCCTAGCCAGGGGACGTGGGGCAAGGTAACGTAAAGTCCAGCCTCAGTCTCCTCGTCTACAAACTGAGGATACTACTCACTTCACTGCACTGCTGTGAGAAGTGAACGTAATAATAAAAGTGAAACCCTTGGCATTGTGCCCCGACACAGTAAGTGCTGCAAACAGAAAAATTATAAGGCCTGCGTGCTTTGACTCAGTCTTTATAAAAATTATAGTTGAAATCACAGGCCACAATTTTCTGGGACAGTAAGGAGAAATTTGGGAGTAAAGAAGTTGGTAACACAGTGCTTTTAAGAATGCCAATCACTGGGTTTTAGCTCCTACCCTCTGTTTAGAAAGATAAAGAACACTGGAGAATATTTATACATGTTCTCACACAAGTGAAGTTCTTTCCCCCATTAACAATAGGACCCACTGAGCAAATGCCCAAAGACAAAAGTGAGGGCCTAAAATGGTCAGTATATCTGCCCCCCGCCACCTGTTTTTGTAAATAAAGTTTCACTCGAACACACCAGATTCATTCCTCTGTCTACTGCCTGTGCTGCTCTTGCACCACGACGGCAGAGCCGCGTGGAGGCAGAGTTGAGTAGTCAGAGACCTATGGCCCACAGAGCCCCAAATATTTACTATCTGGCAAAAAGTTTGCCAAGCTCCTTCATCTTTGCTTTCTCCATCACACTGAGCAGGAGGCACACATCTTCCCATCCTCCCAAACCACCAAGCGAGCGTCTAGCAATGTGCAAAGGAGACGACACAACACCGAAGTGTGAAAGAAACCAGTTTTCAAAATGCCAGGAGGAGAAAAAAGCTTTATAAATCGGAAAAAAAAGAGAATATCATCATTAAATAACAGGATTTGCCCTGCTTTAACATTACTTTCTGTCCCTTAAACTGCTTCCAACTTCAAAGGCCCATTATCCCCCATTTGAAATCAAATGAGTTCTTTACAAAGAAGGAACTAACAAGGAGCTGCTTGCTGTTCAAAAGCGAGGGACCACAGTGCTCAAGATGGGGACGGCCTGGCAATCACATCAGTCAGTGCAAAATCTGCATTTTATTAAAGACATTTGGGAAGATCCATTCAAAAATACATTGTGCTCAGTAAAAATTGACCATTTCATGCTGATAATTAAGGTTACCACGGAATAGATATTTGTATAATATTTACAGCAACAATAGAAATTTTACAGAAGTTTAGAATGGAATACATGCCAGAAAAAACTTGATAAGATGTACCAACACATGATACAAAGAGTTATATAAACACTTTACAAATGGTTCATAATTAGCTTGTGAGGAATTTAAATATTCAACACTTTAAATTCAGTTTGGATTCAAAAATTAAAAAGGTTAACACCACGTCACACCCTTGCCACAGTAAAAAGTATGGAATTACACTCTGTATTATGGATTATAAAGTCTGTGCAATTAAGAATTTCCACTGATTCTTCATCTACCACAAATTTGGATGTTACATCATTCTGGCTTATCCCTATTTTTTATTTCATGCATGAGTAGGGTTCTCGAAGTCACCCTGCCCTGTGTCTTCCCAGATACCCCCTTTGAACTTCCTAGAGATTGAAGAAGCTCAGAACAGTCTTCTAAGTATATACAGAATAACTACCTGAATTCGAAATGGCACAAAGCAATTCTTGGAGATAGGAATTAGGGGCAACTATTTTGTTTGGTTTTATTGTTTCTGTCAATCAATCCAAGTTTACAGTGAGAATCCACTTCTTGCGATCATAGCTTACCCCTCCAGCCTGACTCAATCAGTGACCAAGGAGGAAACAAGGAGAGGGAAAGAGACTGAGAGGACTATACTCACTTGTGTACCTCTAGTGAAAATGGAGTTCATACGAGCTTTGCTTTCCATTTTGGAAAATCTAAGCCACGGTGGAGAACTTAAAAGTTCTCCAAGAGAAAAAGCTTCATTTTTTTTTTCTTGAAACTCTGAATGCTTTATAACTAGAGCTTTTGACGACTCTGGCGATAAACACTTTAATCCCCCAACAGGGACAAAAGTCAAGGCATCTACCTTTTCTATTCCTGGGTTTCGTCCGATTAGCCCTGAAGAAGGGCACTAGGACAAACCTGTCTATGCCTGAAACGAATCAGATCAGGCTTTTGGGAAAGTAACATCCCAAACCAAAGGAAGTCCTGAGGAATTCTTAGCAGTCTGTCAAAACGGAAGGGCTGGAGGAACAGATAAGGCCTCTTTCTCCCTGATACTCTGTGCTGGAAGAGTAGCAAACAAGGCAACTTCTAATCTGCATACAACATGGAAACTGATTTTTTTTTTTTTTTAAGATTCCAAAGGAGGGTCAAAATACGACCCGAGGATCAAATGGGGTTCAGAGAGCGTAACCTTATGGGTAATGGAGGGCCTTAGAAGTGAAACCAGTTTCACTGCCGCAGTTCTCTGGCCCTGGAAATCCAACGTGCAGACTACTACAAATTTTTTCTGGCAAAACAAAGACAAACTCCCTCAAATCTGGGAGTGAACAGTTATTGAATGAAGATACAATGTACGTCATGATCATCTTTAATATCCTATAGGAAATACACAGAAAGGTGGGCCAGTGCCTGGAGTAGAGAAAGGTGGAGTCAGGACCAGGCCTAACGCTGATGAATCAACAAAGCACTAAGAGAAATGAATATTTACGTAGTAACTGACTTGG